TTTCTGGAATCCGGGTCTTTCATTTAAAAGTTATTTATACAATTTAAGACAATTTTTTTTTGAAAAAAAACAGGAGATCCACCTAAATTTTCCATATAACTTTCAAATGTTCCGGTGCAAATGTAGAAGTTTGTTGAATTTATGTGGCGCTGGTTAGATAAATTGCTAGACTTTTATAAAAAAAAATATAAACATTAAATAAAGGAAAGAAAAGAAAAATAGCCAAAACTAGTCAATTTGTCACTTGGCTTAATCAGCTTATCACAAGGATATAGTTATTTATACATACATATACATATATCTACATAGATGTATAAATTTTCGTTCTTAACAGTAGCAAAAATTCATAACATGGTTTTATAAAACAAATCCGATTATAAAATTTGTATAAATCATTGAGAGGATATATTTTAAGTATATTTATTTAACAGGCCCACTTCTAAATCTTAAGTGGCATTCCAACTTGAGTTCATATACATACATCATTAGTTTCTTATGTCTTTTTTAATTGTTCCATACATAATATGTATGTATATATACACATGCGTATTATGTGCCCTAATATCAGTTTTTGAGACCTTAAGCAGTGACTCAAAATTTTTAAGCGATTATTTCTTGTCTAAATTTGTATTTTATTTACTTTCAGGCGAAGATGAATGATCACCACAGCAATTTGCAAAAAGGTAAGAGTGAAGAAGAAACTTTAAAGATTCAAATTTTTTGATTGTTTTTTGAGGCCAGTGTTAAAATTTCCTATTGGGTCATTGGTAGAGCTTTCCGGCCGGTATATTAAAAAGGCAAACTGTGTTTCCTCTTTCTCCTACGCGTTTCGGCGTACTTCACGCCTTCATCAGGGAGTCTGATTTATTGCAAAAAAAAAACAAAACATAATACACACAACAATTAGACACAGTTACATATGACTGGAAATTATATATACATATACATATACATATCTTTTATATCACAATAGCACTTACATATTAAATTAGTGTAACTATTTACATTACAATAAACGCAAAACATTTAACTAAACACTTTTCTTTTTTTGACGTCACTGTCTTCGCCCTTCTGAGTTGTTACTTTGTATTGCCGTCCGGTACGCACAGTTTATATTGTCAACGTCCTCTTTAATTTTTTAAGCTGCATAACGTCGAGATCCACGTATTATTTTAAGCTCTGGCGCCGCACTTTGGGCAATTATATTTTGAAATTTTTTCCCCAGTGGCCCATAATGCGCCACCGATCTCTCCCACGTCGGCATATTTTATCGTTTCTTATTATCATTCCTATAAATGTAATTTTAAGTAGCATTATATTTTAGTGGTTGGAGTCTACATTGATATAACCCAGTGATTTCCAAAGTGGTCCTCGTGGGCCCTCAGGGCATTTTTTTATTTAATATATAAATGTTTTTGAATTTTTTAATTTTAATTTTTCCATTGTAATTTTTTATTGTATTTTAAAAAGAAAAAAAAAATCTCACTTATTTTTTTATGGTATTTAAGTATTTGGGTTTTTGTATATAAAATTAATTCTACGATGTGTAATTTATATTTGAATTGAAATAATTGAGTTACGTTACTTCCATCCAACTTCACCTCCAACCGGACTCGAAAACGCGATCTCAGAACCAGAAGCAGTAGTCTTCACGCGCCGTCACAGTCAACAATTGCCAGCAATTCAATTAACTTTGTGTTAGCAGCACTGACAAAATTCAAAATTATTTAAGGAAATTATTACCTTCTGATATTTATTTAGTAAATTTACTTCCTCAAATTAATGACGCACTGTTTTGAGCATGAACCTGAATTAAGGAAAAACATCTAAAATTGAGTTAATTTTTCGTAATATTAACAAAAAAAAACGAAACTACAAAATTAGGAAACTGGTCCTGGTTTTAACGAAACGCTCTTTTCTGAGTGTAGGGACAGTTTGTTTAAAGTCTGCCTCCATATAGTCGAAACACTGTGCGACGCAGTCAAAGACAATGACCGAAAAAAAATAATATAAAAATATAGATAAAGATTAACATTGGGATTAAGGAAAAGATTTAGACGAAGATCAAAAAAACGTGAAGATGGGGATGGAGGTGTATATAAAAATTGAGTGCAAGATGCAGAAGAAGATGTAAATGCAGATGAAGGTGCAGGTGAAGATGAAGATGATGACGAAGATGAAAATAACGATGAAGATGAGGAGGATGATGACGATGACGATGAAGATCAAATTCAAGATTATGTAGATCAAAGTTAAAGTTAAAGACGGAAGATGAAGATGAGAAGGAAGATAATGAAAAAGACAGAAATGAAGATAGAGATACAGAGGAAGATGAAAGTGAAAGTGAAGATGGGAACGCAGATAATGAAGAAAACGATGGTTAATATGAAAAAGAAGATGAACGAAACGAAAACGAAGATTTCATAAAAATCATATTGAAAATTTTCTTTCTGAAATTTTTTTCTATGAAGACACACTTTTAATTTTGTTTTCGTAGTCTTTTAAATTTCATGTTTTTTAATCAAATTCAGTGGAGATGAATTCAGATATAAATTAAAAGAATCTGTGTTAATTTTGTTTATAGTATTTAACATACATAAGTATGTATTTATGTAGGTACAAAAAAAAAATACAAGCACGAATTAGCCACATGACTCAATATGCATTGGTAAACAAAATGTTGCATGCCACTGCAATGAAATAGATTGCAAGTAAGCACCAAACAAAACGCGACGGCGTGGCTGGTGGCGAGTTGCGGGCCAACCATGTAATCTGATTACAATATCAATACGATAAGCATCAATGTGACGGCGCTACGCACACTCCCACGCCGCAACGACAATAAAAACAACAATAGAATTTTAAGAATAACAAAAAAAAAAAACGTACGAAAATCAAGCAACGATATTAGCCTTTAAAATAATGTAAGCAATTAACAAAACCAACAACTACAACTACAACTACAACTACAACTACAACTACAACAATGACAATATTGTAATCGAGTGACAGCAACACCAGAGCGCAATGTTGTAACATCAAAATGTTGCAACTTCTTGCTGCGACTTGGCTGACCTTTACTAAGATTGCACTGAACGGCTACGAGTTTTCAATAAAACCGAAAACGTAAGCAAAAAGATGGGCTCAACACAAAGTTGAGTAGGTATATACATACTTACAAATAAACCTAAGCGCCAGCATGCAGTTCGCAGTAAACATGTGGTTGCTTTTATTTTATGGTTGTATAGCGAACATGAGCTGCAACAAGCCGCTTTACAAGATGTTTACATAAATTCCTGAAATGCAAACAACTTGCAACATGCAATGGGCGCCCCCAACAGCAGCAGGAGAACAACAACAAAACAGCTAATGACATGCTTGCAATGACAGCAGCCACACAACAACAACCACAACAACGACAAGAGCAAGCAGAATAAAGTGCCAATATCGATTGAACCAGCAGCGATCGGTCAGCGATAATGTCAACGCCAAAACAGTAGCTACTACTTAGTATGTACCCCGGACTCGTACTCTAAACCGCAACGGCATTAACAAAAGCAACAGCAACAGCAACAGCAACAGCAATAACAGCCACAACGTAGGTAGAATCAGTGGCGCTTGGTGGCGGCGCGCGCGATAAGCATCGTCGACGCTGATCGCGATTTTGGTGATCAACATCGCCAGCCAATTTTTATTATAATTTGATGCAGTTGCTGGTGTTGTTGTGTTGGTGGTTTCCACCAACTTCGATTTTTACCCTGTGGGTTGTTTTTCATGCAGTTTTTTTTTGGTCTTGCTCTTTGGATTTCTATTTTTTTTTTTTGATTTTTCTGCTTTCTACAATGTTGCACCGTTGTATTATTGCTGGCTAGTAAGTAAGTAAGTAGTTTTTGTTGTACCAGCTGTTCATCTATTTTGACTAAATTAACATGCGCCGCCACCATGTGTTACTTCTGAGAGTTCATCCTTTCGTTAGTTGGTAAAATTAAACTCCTTACCTTTACACTGTACGCCAATAAATATGCGAGAGCGTATAGGGTGTTCCAAAAGCAAGTTATGTTTTTTTTTTTACTGATAAAACTTTGAGACAGTAACGGCAATAAGTAGTTTCGGAATTGTTTCAAAGAAGTAACTAAAGCAGGCCTCGTTAGCAAATATGTACTTTGGTGGACTGGCAGCTTTATCGCTCTTACACATGTGTTCTTTGTAAACATACCGCAGTGGTAATGATAGCTTTAGTGGAAATTAACTTAAAAAGACCAATACCAAGGGCAATAATGAAAGGATACCCCAATCTGCTTCTCGATAATGGCAGTTACAGAGAAGGTGGAGAACTGTCTCATCCTCCTCCTCATAGTTCTTGAAATTTCTACAGCATCTTTGGTAAGGCACTCCGAGCTGTTTCCGCGTATTTACCTATAAGGCAGTGGCCTGCTAGGGCAACAATTGTGTGAAATATATCCTCTCTCTTTAGAGATTATAAGCTTCGAGACTTTTTACGATCCCATCTAGGCCAAGTTTGCCTAGAAATTCATAAGGTTGTAGTTTGCGTCCATCTCTCGATCGCGCTATCATAGATAAATTCTCTTAAAATCAACTTGCAAGAGGCGAAGGGGATACCAATGGCATCTTTGCCCGGAAGAATCCGCGTACCCTCTCGCAAAGTCATCCGCCATACAGTTACCTTCTATGTACTTATAACCGGACCCCCAAATTATTTAATTGTGACGGAACTCACAGCTTTCATTGCTGCCTGACTGTCGCTAAAGATGAACCTTTTAAATCGGTACGAAGGTCGTTTATAGCCTCCATCAGAGCTGAGACCTTAGCCTGGAAGACAATACAGTAGTCCGGTAGTCGAAATGATCAGTTCCAGATCAGTTATCTCTCTAGAATGAATCCTAAGAATTTTGCTTTATTCCTAAAGCTGAAGAGTCGCCCTTTTAGTACAAGTGGAGTCAGTAGTTTGTATCTTCTCGTAAAGAGAACAAGTTCCACTTTCTCCCAATTGTTGGACATGGCGTTGTACGTTGGTCGACTTCTACTCTCTGTCTGTATGTTTGTGTTTTTAAATACTTATGTGTACACAAAAACATTTCCGGACTTGTTCAGGGCTATTTCAGGCACATTCAGGGTCAGTTCTGGACCGTTTTGGAACTTGTTCAAGACCACTACGGGACTAGTTCACGACTAACGAAGGTCCATTACGAGACAAACTTAGGACCCTTTCAAGACTAGCTATGGGCTATGCTAGCACAAGTTTCGGAATAGTTCGGGATCGTTTTGGGACTAACAAGGGACAATTTCGGGAAAGTTTCAAGACTGGTTCGAGATCATTTCGTGACAAGTTCGCGACGTTTTTGAACGGTTCGACGCCTGTTGAGACCTATTTTCAGATCATTTTGTGACGAGTTCGAGATCGTTTTGGGGCAAATTCACGACTTTTTCAGAGCCACTTCAGGACAATTTTGGCACTAGGGGGATCCAATTTTCGTAGAAGTATTTCTCCTCGCATATGGAGTATACATTTTTAATTTCAACTGAATTGGGCAATAGTTACGTACTTTCTGAATATCCTGGGTTGAGCTCAACCTAGCGAATTACTCGTTCATTGTTAGTTCTTTAGAATCTAATTAATAACTATAAAAATTCCTTATATCTCTCATCATCTCTTTTTTTTCTACACCAGGTCATTTCCTCGACGACAGTCGCCTCATAGATCATCACAATGCCGTGACGCCGCAGGCTAATCATAGCGCCAGCATGGCGACAGCGGCTAGCATTTATGGACCCAGTAGTACACTGCGCACCGTTGCCACATCGAATAGTAGTTCGCCGGCCGGAGGAGGAGGCAATACTGGTGGTGGCAGCAGTGGCGGTTTAGTAAGTGGTGCTGGCGGTCTAGGCTTAATCGGCGCAGGCAATGGCAGTCTGGGTGGGAGTGGCGGTATTGGTAGCGGCGGTTTGGTTGGGCTTGGTGGCGCGAGTATTGGCGGAGTGCCACATCATGCGACGTCAGCTAGCAATCATATGGCGCATCATCACAGCGCATCAGCGGCGGCGGCTTTATTGGTTGTACCACAACCGATTAACGCGAGTAAAATGAGCGCAGCAATGGCAGGTGGCGGTGCTGGCGGAACGGGCAGAAAGTATCAATGCAAGATGTGTCCACAGGTGAGTGTAAAATTTGAGAAATTGTGATAAATATTATACTAAAGCTGGCATGCAAGCAGAATACATATGTACCTGCATATGTAGGTAGGTACTGGAAGATAAAATACATCTGCTTCGAGAAACACCTGAGCCAAAAATTTGCTTCCTTTATTATAAAATTTTTATTTCATACGAAAAGAGGAAAAAATGCATATTTAAGTATGTTTACGTGGATACTCGTAAGGGGTAAGACGAAGGGAAATTTTCTGTGGTAATATCATAGATTTTGCTAATTTGAGCTTCAATATAATATTTTTTATGTTTTCTACCAATCATTTAACGATTCGAATGTGATCGATACCTAATTTCGAACGAACATTGTGACATCCTTATGTAAAGAAATATTCGTATCTATGACTTGAAAATTCATACGAATTATCATTTATACTTATCGGAGACCGGGAACGCCTTCCAGTTTTGGTTTAGTTCTGCATGGGGCCGCAATGTAATGTCAAGAACTTTCCCACAAACGANATTTGAGCTTCAATATAATATTTTTTATGTTTTCTACCAATCATTTAACGGTTCGAATGTGATCGATACCTAATTTCGAACGAGCATTGTGACATCCTTATGTAAAGAAATATTCGTATCTATGACTTGAAAATTCATACGAATTATCATTTATACTTATCGGAGACCGGGAACGCGTTCCAGTTTTGGTTTAGTTCCGCATGGGGCCGCAATGTAATGTCAATAACTTTCCCACAAACGGACCAAACGGGAACAAAAGTATTGAGAGCAGTTTGAACGGCAAGAAAAAATGAGAACAAAAGGTTTGAGAACGTTTCCGTAAAGAACAAAAGCGAACAAACAAAAGCGCGGGGAGTCCGCTTGTTGAGATAAAAACTTGTGAGAACCACGATTGTTAATTATAAGCCAGAGGAACCCTGGATTATTTGTGCAAGAAAAGTTCGTGTCTTAATCTTTCGTTGACTTTATTCGCNCCGTAAAGAACAAAAGCGAACAAACAAAAGCGCGGGGAGTCCGCTTGTTGGGATAAAAACTTGAAGAATTGAGAACCACGATTGTTAATTATAAGCCAGAGGAAGCCTGGATTATTTGTGCAAGAAAAGTTCGTGTCTTAATCTTTCGTTGACTTTATTCGGATAATTATCTTTCAGTTCGGTTTTGATTAATTATAATATTAATTTCAGAATGTTGTACGAAAATTTTATTCTCGCTTCCCATCTTCGCGAGTAGTTCAAAGAAGATTGGTTCCCGTTTCGTTCTGTTTCAGAAAGTTTCTGAGGCTTTAGTTCGTAAACTGCTATTCGAGTGAAAGTTCCTTAGACTTTTGTTACCGTTCAGTTCTATCCCAAAACGTTACGGAGACTTTTGTTCCCATTGTGTTTTCTTAGAAATGTTCCCGAGAGTATTGTTCGCATTTTGTTATCTTGTATTGGTTATTTTCATACATACCTGGCGTCAAAATTATAAAATGAAAATTCGAAAAAATTTCAAAATTATGCCAAAGCTTTTAGATAGACTCCTTAGAAAGATTTCGAGTTAGCAGTTTTGTAGACTATTCACCTTTCTAATTAGACTTCTTAACCAGTTTTTGGATAAGCAGTTTTGTAAGCCCATTCAATTGAATTTAATGAAGTAACTAGGCCTTATCTCTGATTTTTTCTGTTCCATATAAAAAAAATCGTCAAACATCCTTTTTATGCAAGAAAATGTACAACACCATCAGCAAAAAAAAAATCCGAAAGTCAAAGATACGTCCTAGCTACTTCAAACTTCCGCTTTATTATAGTAAGACTAAATGGGCTACATACCCAAAATCTTTTCAAGAAATCTAATTAAAAAAACTAGAAAGTTCCTGCATTTTTTTACAAAAATTTTATGAATTTTTTTTCTAGCTATGCACAAAGGTTAAAAATTAGATTATACGATTTTAGCTAAAAAAAAATAAACTATCATTTTTTTTAAATAACTAAAATTAAATTTAAAAAAATAAATGCTTAAAACTCTTCAGTATGTTGCTGCGTTTATAATTTTGACACGGGGTGTATATTTTACTTGCACAGTTATTTGTATGGCGTGGGAGCGTATCTTCTTTTTTTTTAATATTAGCGCCTTCGTATGTAATTGATATTAAATACAACAACAATATGAGAATGATGTACGCACACAATTAAGTAATGAATCAAGTCAAGCTGAAGGAATGTTGTGCCCTACGTACATACTCACTTTCTTAGCGCCGGCATGTATGTATGTATATTTATCCCTTACACTTCGTTAAGCACCATTCAGCTGGATGTCAATTTGCAACTCTAAGGTATTTACTTGTGAACTGTTGCACCTGCACGCGGCTGGAACAATACGTGCGGAAATCATACAAACATACTTACATGTGACATAGCTTTTATTTACATACATATGTACATATTTCTATGCCACCTGCCACGTAACGGAATTTACTCAAGCATATACTCTTCAACCTTTCGAGTATTTCTTATTAACTTACGTACTCATATTTCTTAATTTAAGTTGAAAAAAGGGCAGGGTGCCATATATGTATAATCGTCACAAAAAAGGCAACCCCGAAAGTCACTATCTGATTTTAAATAGTACAGGACATGAACCGTGAAGATGAAGAACTGTCTCTGCATGTTTTTTCGATCTTACTAATGTAGAGATCAATCGGGCCATTCTTTCTTTCTATGTATGTATGTATGTACCTTTCATCTGTTAAAGCACTGAAAAAAACTTCCGAGCTTAGCTTGGAAGTTGTAAAGCTCATATCGGTGAATGAGGTCAGGGGTGTTTGGTTTATTAATCCTCTGCCGAGATCGATGACTTTCCAGCACAAATAAAAACTCTCTTTCTTTACAGACTTTTTGGCTTCCGAGCTCTTTTATAGCGTTCATAACGTTTGGAACCTAAGCCTTAACATCACTACGGTAGTCTGGCCAATGAAATGATCCCCCAACTTTGTCCATAAACTATTCGAACTATTTGCAGATATTTCAAAAGCCCTGTCCTGTGAGCGCATTGGTCTGGTCGATATTGAAGAAAACCCAATTGTTTTCAGAAAACAAATGTGCCAGTGTCCTTCCTCTCTTAAACGAATTGTTGTTGATGTAACAGCATACAAATTTTCATTTTTGTAGTTGGTGTTCCGACAGGGTAGGAGTATGATGTATTGTGAAACGATTTTTCGTCATCCCTTGTCAAATTTAGTTTCAGCGTTTTGCAATCTTCAGTGTGATTTTTCGTTCTGCCAAACCAAATTTGACAAGTGATAACGGCAAATCATCAATNTTCGTCATCCCTTGTCAAATTTAGTTTCAGCGTTTTGCAATCTTCAGTGTAATTTTTCGTTCTGCCAAACCAAATTTGACAAGTGATAACGGCAAATCAGCATGCGAATTCAATTCTGCTGCACGAATAACAGAGCTAACGCTAAACTTTGCTCTCCATTCAGCTAACATTTCTTCCAGAGTGACGCTTAAAAATTTGACAAGGCAGATAACACCGTTGAGTTTCAAAAAGTTGCGAGATTATGCTCCCCTAGGGTGTGCTTCTTGCTAGGTTACTTGAAACCTGGTTTTCACCTATTTACGTCGTTATCGTATAAACTCCACGCGAAAATTATCCCTTTCCAGCTACCTTTCCTTCTGTAAAACCGGGATTACATCCCGTATGAACATCAGTGCTCTGAAGTTGAAACAGAAAATAAAAACTGTCTATTTTTAAAACTTTTACAGACAACTTCCAAATCGATTTATTTCCCTACTGAGTATGGCGGCTGGAAACACCGGATAATAGTTGGAGTTGCTGGATTATAGGATTAGAAGTAAATGTGTAACACCTTTTGTGTCATTGCCCTGTGGCCTTCTTNAAAATAAAAACTGTCTATTTTTAAAACTTTTACAGACAACTTCCAAATCGGATAATAGTTGGAGTTGCTGGATTATAGGATTAGAAGTAAATGTGTAACACCTTTTGTATCATTGCCCTGTGGCCTTCCACAGCCTTTGGAGTTTTGAATCCAGCTTAGAGGTTTTGAGTGGGGTGAACGTTGTATTTGAGTTCAACTCCGAACTTCCTTCATTTTTATCAGCGTCTGTGAAAATTTACCGTGCAAGTTCCATACAATAAAGTAGAGTGATTACGGCCGGGATAGGACTCCCCCTTTGATTTATTCACCAGACCAAATGCAGAAGGGGAGATATGCCTCCCGAAAAGGATCGAACAGAAGCGGACCCAAGGCCGCAAGAGAAGCCATTGCCAATTTGCTAAAATACTCGACCGGAGCAGCAGAGACGGCGGCGTTTCCATGGAGGAATGGCAGCGATTAACCCCGGTTATAGCGGCGGTTTTATTGAAGGTGATAAAGGAAAAGCCCGGTCCCTCTCCAAGGTTAGAGAGTGCGGGGCTGCCAACGTCATTTTCTGCCCTGACGTCCTCTTTCATTCGATACCAAATTTGTTGATTTGGATAGGCGGTTTGTTTATTATTAGGAAAGGACTTTTGTTTCGGACTTAAAAAATATTTGACCAAGTTTAACAATTATTACTGGAATAAAAAAATAAAAGTCCGGGTTGACCGATTATTTTATTTCAAATAAAATAAAAGTTGAAAGATAACTTTTTTCCAATGACATTTATTATAAAAGTTATAAAAGTCCGGGTCCCTGGTAATAAGTGAACTGAATCGACACAGTATGGATTCATTTCGTTTATTTTCGAACAGTGAAATACTCTGAATTTGAGAACATACTATCAGAAAAAGAGTTGCCATCTCACAAGTTTTTTTTTTATACATTTTTTAGCAACTCTAACACTCTTTTTAAAACTAAAAGGATGAAAATTCAACTTTATTCCTCTAAATTGGAATTTTTGACCATAGTGCGCTGGTAATGAAACATTTATTTTAAGATTAAAACCAATAATAGTATCCTTGATTGTTATATGTTGCATATTCTGAAAAATAAATAAAATTTTAAATTACTTAAATTAAATAAACAAATAAAATTGATTCAAATAAAACTGACTTCAAACCTTACAACTTACCACACTTGGGCAAATCATCACTCCAACCACCTGAAGTACAACTTATACGTGATGCGCCTTGCAGCCTAAAACCCTTCGTACATTCAAAATCTATATACGAATCTACTTTCACCATGCTTTCCTTATAGCTTTTCGTGATTTTAAGCCACCCATTTTGATTGGGTCGCAAATAATGGCATATCAATGGATTTTCGCACTCGAGTAAAATATCGGGATCACACCCCAAAACTGAGAGTGCAGGTCATTAGAGAGAGACAGAAAACAGATTTCACAATTAGATACACAATCAAATAATACACATATACATATGTATATACATAGGTATTTATGTGTATGTAAAAAACTCACTGCATTTAGGCAAATCTAAAGTTGTTTCATGCCTCCAACCTGAAGCGGTACAATCCGTCTGTTGTGCTCCCTTCAACGTATAACCCTCCGAGCAGAAATAACCGACTTGAGTATCTCGCTGATAAGAGTAAGTTGCATAATCAGTAGGCAAAGGATAAAACTTTGAGAGTTCATTCGGATAATTAACGAAACATTGCAGCGGATAATCACATTTGGGTAAATGCTTTCCCCGACAGGGTAGCACTGTTTGGGGAAAAAATTTTCAAGTGACACAACTACAAAATGAAATGCAAATCAATTTAATAAGTAACTACCGCATTTTGGCATTGCATTGTTCCAACCATTTTCGAGACAAGTCAGACTTTGCATGCCTTCCAGCTTGTAGCCATGTGGGCAACTTAGTTGAACTCGAGAGTTGAGGGGCATTCGCATCTCCTTGCTGCCGCCTTTAATTTCTACAAAATCGTGCATTACTGTATCAAATGTTTTGCATATCACTCCATTACCGCATTCGCNTCTCCTTGCTGCCGCCTTTAATTTCTACAAAATCGTGCATTACTGTATCAAATGTTTTGCATATCACTCCATTACCGCATTCGCGTAAAATACTGCCATTGCAGAATTTTGGTATTTTCACTTAAAAAAAAAAATAAAAGAAGAGAAGAGAAATATTAAAATTTATAGTGGAACAATATGGGTGCTCTTTNCGTAAAATACTGCCATTGCAGAATTTTGGTATTTTCACTTAAAAAAAAAATAAAAGAAGAGAAGAGAAATACTCAAATTTATAGTGGAACAATATGGGTGCTCTTACGAAAATGCCACCTACCGCACTTGGGCATTTCATGACTCCATCCATTGGAGGTGCAACTTATTTGCTTGACGCCTTCCAGCTGGTAGCCCTCAGTGCAATTAAAAGCAAAATATGTGTCGGCGGTAATTTGATCAACTGCTGCAGCACTGCCAAATAAGGGTAGCCAGAGCTTGTTTTTTTCATCGAAAATTTTGCAATTAAGCGGATCCATGCATGCGTTTAATAAGCTTTTATCACAAACTCGAACTGTTCGAAATGAGAATACGAAAGTGTTAGGAGTACTCAACTTGCAGAAGTAGTGATTAGGGATGGAAAAGTCGAGTTTTATATAACATGGGAGATATAGAGGTTTGGTTCAATATGCAGAAACGTTTTTTGTAAACCTGTGTTAATGATAAAGTATTATCTTTTTAAATTAATTTTCAAAAAGTCAATTTAAGTCATAAAGTCGAGGTGATTAATCGACTTTAAGAATCGAAAACCTGGAAGTCGTTTCTGAAACNTAGAGGTTTGGTTCAATATGCAGAAACGTTTTTTGTAAACCTGTGTTAATGATAAAGTATTATTTTTTGAATTACTAAACAAAATGGTTTTATGTTCATGACCTAGTAAAGGTAGGAACAAATTATTATTTTTTTTTTGGAAATTTTCAAAAAGTCCATTTAAGTCATAAAGTCGAGGTGATTAATCGACTTTAAGAAACGAAAACCTGGAAGTCGTTTCTGAAAACAAGAATCGATTCTGCGCGCAACTTTTCCATCCCTACTTGTAATTTGAATCACAACTCACGGCATTTAGGCGCAACATTGTCCCAGCCATTGAAATTGCATGTCGAACGATTCTCCCCCACAAGCTTGTAGCCATAATCACAACTGAATGCGATATGAGAGTTTTCTCTAAAAAGATTATTCCAGTAATTTTCTTCGGGTGGCACATTGACGCCCATGTATGAGTTGTATATCGCACAGTTGAGTGGTCGCTGGCAGCCGCCCAACTTTGAGACGTAGCAGTAATTTACTAAAAGATAAGCGAGTTATTTCAAAAGCTTTATTTTGTGTGTGTTTTTTTTTTGTGATATAAAAGTTATCGATATCGTTCCATGAAGTTATTGTTATAGTTACTGATATCCAAATCATTGGACCAATTACCTAAAACCTCTGTCGACAACAAAGCTACATACAGTGAAACCCGCTTAAGAAATAAAAGTCGATGTGTTCATCAATAATATTAACTATCAATATACGTATGTGTATAACAATACATAATTAACAGTCTTTGTTGACATTTTTTACATTCGATATTACTATCGATATAAAAATCGATTGCTATTGAAATATATCGATGCTAATCTAATTGCTAATATTTTTGAAATACTGGAAAGAGTATATTTTTCTATTTGTAGCGATATCGCTACCGATATATCTTTATTTCGTTGTCGCGATTTAATCTATACTTTTTTTCTGTATCTATTGGCATTGCTATCAATTATGAACCGTTCTCATGTCGTTATTTTCCTAGCCATGATAGTTTTTTTGTCATAGTTAACGATTTATTTCGATCTAGTTACCGATAATATCAGCTATTGGTATATGCATGTCGATATTATTCTCGATTCGTATCGGTTTAGCAACCAATCTAATTCGATATGTTATCTTTTGATACTAATATCGTTTTTAAATCTGTTATCGGTATCTATACTCGATAAATATTTTTGTCACAATTATCATTATATTTCGTTATTATTATCAATATAATTGGCTATGAATATCATAGTATAATTATATAAATATCGTTATCGATAACTATCGATTTCGTTGCCGCAGTGCCTTTGGAGAGAATCTGGTGTAGGAAGGATGGTAGCACCAACAGTTATAAGAAAGTTTTTTGGACCCTGTATACACCGGAGGAATGCCTGAACTTGGTTGAAACGCCATCTACACGGAGCTTCTGCTTTTTGCAAGGAGATAAAAAAATCCCCATTTTTTAGCTTTCCTTAATTACGGTTTCTGCTTATATTTACTACATATCGGACTGGTGAGATACCTGGATTTAATTCATAAAACAATTCTTCCTAGAAGCCGAACATTACAGACAGCGTGAATAATGCCATATTTTGTTGGAGAGAGGCCATGGACAAGTGCTGGGTCCTCTCTATGATACTATAACTAAACCAACGTTCATATTATTCCAGCAGCATCTACGCTAAGGAACGTGGGCTTTGAGTTACTTCGAGCTTTGGGCACTCCGGAATCCAAAAAGCTTCGAGTTCATTCCGGCTCGAAATGATTAGTTCTCGGGAAGGACTAAGCGGGGTGTAGTATGTGAAACTTTGGCCCTGTTAACTTATTCGCGGATAATCGAAGGCCGGCGAAAAAGTGGGTGGAGGTGCCTTCTGTGAGGAACTCTCCATTATAAGCAAGCCAGGATCACTGAAGTTTATTCCGAACAGAGGGTTTTAGAAGACTGGTATGCATATAACAAGCCAGGCTAAAATCAGAACCATTAGCTATTTGAAGATAAGTTGCACGCATTCCCTTTCGTTTGCATCATTGTGTGCCTGGCTGAAATGATACTGAGTTAACAAGACAATAAACTCTTGAGGTATTGTCACGCGCAAAGAACCGGAGGAGTTTCACGTGGCCACATCCGCTACTCCGCTGTCTGAATTTTCTATCATATATCTTAACCTTACCTAATCTTTCAGGGAATATGTATACAATATCACTCCAGTGTTGAAAGCATCACAAATTCGCTTGAATAAAACTACAGATTTCGACCTACCAATCGATAACCTATCTTGTAATTTTTATCTCTGCCATTTACTTACTGCAATTAGGCAATGGCTTTGACCAGCCAACATCCGTACAAATTCTGCTCACAGCACCTTCCAAGTAGCCTGCACCGCAATAAAAATCAAGTTGAGAATGTAATTTGATCTTCTGCTCATTAAAACTTTCAGTAATTAAAACTGCCGAGTTCATATTCGGTTTCTTGTAGCGACATTTGAGGCGTGACTTGCACTTGGATAGAAAGTCCACTTCACATACGGGTGCTGTTGGAATAAGAAAACTCAGAAATGGTAGACCATAAGTAAATGTTTATGAAAAGAAAATTTACTACAAATTGGTTTGGCATGGCTCCATCCGCCAACTGTGCAAGTTATATATTCCATACCTACTAACTCGAAGCCTTTGTCACAACCAAACGAGATACGTGTATTCACTTCAATAGGCAGCCGCCCACTACCGTTGCTTAGAAGTGAAGAATGATTTGAGTTTGGTAGCCAAATTTTGCAAATAAGTGGATGACTGCAATCTCGAAGAGTACAGTTAATTTTCTGCCTCTCTGGTGGACTAGACAGAGTCTTCATTCCAGTATATGGGGTTGTTGTTAGTGGTATCGCGTTGTGCTTTGGTGCATGAGTCGTTGTAGTTTGAGAACTACTGTCTGGTTTGTTGCTATTTTTTGTTTCAAATGTTTTGCTATTTTCGTTCGACGACGACGTGGTTTGCACTTCACCACCGATCTGCGTTTGATTTCGTGATGGTGCTAAGGAATTTGCGTCCAAAGGACTAGACTTGGATTTCTTCTTTTCTCTATCATCCTCTCTTTCAGCTGATGCCGCAGGCATTCGCTTAGGAAGGCTTGCGTGCTGAGCTGTTTCTTTGCTACTTGGTGTCTTATCAAAATCATGCGCTTGTCTTTCAACACTTGTCGAACTTAGAGTTCGTGCAGTGTTCGCTTGGTTTATACTCGCTCCGTCCTTGGGATGATTAAAACCATTTTGAGTTTTATTTGAATTTATGTTTGTGCTAGAAGTAGTCTCCTTGTTTGTTTCAAAATCTACATTGCCTCCATTGATTGGAGTGTCGATAGTATCGTGATTGCCCTCCTTGGCTTCGATCGGATTTTCAAGTATAGGCGCATTAGTAGTCGTAGTCGTATTTGCGTTCTCTGCTGAAGGTTTTGTAGTTTTAATTGTTGTGGTTATAAATATTTCATTTGTTAATATCGGCGTTGTTGCTACAGTTCTGTTCGCTTTTGTTGTATCTCGATCCATTGGACAAAGTTCTGAGTACTCATCAGTCCCATCCCAGCACTCCACTGTTCCATTGCACTTAGCCTCCACCTGTATACATGCGCNGATATTTTACTCAAAAACCTAAAAGAGTCATAGGATATTGGCTCCTTTCCAGAGGAATTTAGTGCTTAAGGTCTAGCAAGAGCCTGCCTGCATGGCAACGTAGCAGAAAAAATGTTGTATACAAACTTTTCTTCCCTTGCACCACGCGAAGAAACTATTTTGGAGTATTCATACCTTGGTTGGGTTTGAATCCTACTAATATTACACTGTGCGACAAAATCAAAAAAAAACTTCGAAATACATGAAGCGAAAAATATACTCACGAAACTGTGG